TGCCAGCTTAGGCCCGATCCCCCCGGGGAGTGGGCCTAAGCCAGCAGGTGGTCATCCCCTGAGGGGTCCCAGACTTCGAGAGGGCACAGGCCAGGCTGAGGGACCCCCCCAAGTGCACAAATTTTTGTGCACCAGGCCTCTAATAGTATTATAAAATTAAAACACGTGTGTGATTGGCACCAGCAGGAGTTTTATATGTATCACACATGTGTGAGTCAACATTTATTTTTAAACTAGAGGCCCAGTGCATGGATTTGTGCACTGGTGGGGTCCCCTAGCCTGCAGGGATCAGGCTGAAACCGGCTCTCTGACACCCGCTGAGGGGTCCTGGATTGTGAGAGGGTGCAGGCCAGGCCGAGGGACCCCACCGGTGCATGAATGGGGCCGGAGAGGGACCGTGGGAGGGCTCCAGGGCATGTCTGGCCCATCTCGCCCAATCCCGATCAGCTGGACCTCAGCAGCAAGCTAACCTACCGGTTGGAGCATCTGCCCCCTGGTGGTCAGTTTATGTCTATGTATTGGGTAGCTGCTAAGTCTCCTTGAGTTGATAGAGTGGCCTTGTGTAGTAGGTGTACTATAGGGCCCAGTGGCTCAGCCTCCCCAGTCACCTGAGGTGGACACTCTTGGTCCACCCCTTTGGGGGCTGTGTGCACAGTCTTGTTGTAGTTGAGCCTTGATTGCTGTTGGTATCACTGGGAGGAATTGACCTCCAGGCCAATTGGCTGTGAGGACCAGCTGCTACTACAGTGGGAGAGCTGCTGTGTAGGAGACACCCTTATGGAGCAGGACTTGCTTCAGTGGGGCTTTGGTGCTCACTGAGTCTGCCCCCTGAGTGTGTTGCTTATGGATCTGAAGAGTTGTAATCTGGTATGGTCTCACACTGACCATTGGGTACACTGGCTCTTGGATCTCCAAGGAGGTGCAAAGTCAGCCACTGCCTGGGGCCACCCAGCAGGAACTACAGAGAGATTTGCAGATCCCTCCTCTTTATATAGGGTTTGGAAGTGCCCAGACAAGGCCCAGCTGTGAAGCAAGGCAGGCTGGTGCTGGTGTGGCCTTGGGCCTTCTTTTGATAGCTTTGGGGCTCCCTGACCCAGCTGCAGCTTGTTTAACAGGTTTTAGGCTGAGAAAGGACAGGCCATTCATATGCAAAAGCCTCTGTGCACAGCTTGGGTGGGGTTGTAAATTGGGTGGGGTGGGGTCTCAGGGAATCTCCAGGGCAGAGCAAACAGCAATAGCTGCCAGTCAGCCCTGCACTGGGGAGGTCCCAGCACAGGAACAATGACCTCTGTGAGCACCTCCATCTGGAAGAAAGCCACTCCTGCTTTCCTGCTCCGATGCCAGACAGTCCAGTTTCTCTCAGTATGAATCTGGGTTCTCTAGAATCTCGCCTGGCACTGGAGCTCAGAGCAAGCGTGAGCTTGTATCTCCCTCCGATTAAACAAGCAAAAATTGTTTTTAAAAAACCCAGAATATGTACTGCAAATGTACAGCTGGGGGTCTGGTTCTTGTGGAAGGCAGCAGAGCATGGGTTCCATGTCCACTGGGGATGCTGCCAAGGATTACAGTCACCACAGGCTTTCTAACAGAAACGAGTGATCTAAGAGAACGGCAGTGCAGTAAGAGAAGTTCAAAGGCAGAACAAAGGGGGGCAGCTCGGAGGGAGGGACTGAGCCATGAAGGCCTGGCACCACCTCACAGGACGAATGTCTGGGGAAACTGGGAGTAGGAAAGAAAACGGAGGACACGCTAACGAGCTTTAAACCTCACTGGTTTGTTTTGCGCTTTTGTTTTGTTCTGTGTTCTGAGATACCTTCCGCTGCTGCTCCTCGGAGGGCAAGCAGCCGGCCAGTCTCCAGGCTCTTTGCTTACCCTTGTTTTTCCTCTTTTGCCTGAGGGAGCTAGTGCTGGCTCCCCCGCTCTCAGGGAGACTGGGAGGACCAAAGGTAATCATAATAAAATTAACAATGACAGCAGCAGCCACCTATTCATTATCTAGTAGTTCTAGGGCCGTGGATGGTATGTGTGCCCCTAGTTTGTAGATGACAAAACAGGCTCACAGAGGTGAAGCCACAGCCACAGCAGTGTCAGAGCCGGATGTGAATCTACATTTTTCTGGCGCCAAAGTCCATGTTTGTTCCACCAGACGCCGCCACAACTCAAATGGAAGACAATTATGAATGTGACCACTTTGTAAACCCTAAAGTATCAAATAAATGTTAGCTATTATTGTTAAATGTGTCTTTAGAACTCTGTGTGCAATCCTTAAAAGAAATGTTTATAAAATCAAGCTCAAAGGCAAGCTATTAATAACAAATGGGAGAGTTATGTTTTTAAAAAACCTCACAAATTTGACACATAGAAAAGAAATTCGATATATGTTGATCGAGCTTCATTGGTTGAACTTGAACCAACGGGAAGAAGTTGTGGGGGAGCCATCTCAGCTCAAAACGGTTGGAACTGACTCCCAGGAAGTTGCCTGACACACAGGTAAGGGAGCGAGATGCCTCGCGGCTGCTTTCCCCACAGAGGCTGGGGCATCAACTGTTGGGATTTTCAGAGGAACTAAGGCCCCTCTGATGAAGAAAGAGTCTAACATGCGAAGTCCTTTATGTTTTCTTGATCACTGATTGGATAGTTCCCTATCATCAGGCAAATACGGGCCATGTGAAAACATCCCCATTAAGCACTTTAAAATACGATTTTCCAAAACCACTAAATATGCTACATCATGTAAGAATGACCACTTAGAACCAACCAGGAGGACTAGAATAGTTTCAGTTCCTTTGGCAGAGAAGAGCTAGAATTTATGTTGTGGTCTCAAACCTATCGAGGAACCGGAGACAGAAAGGGTTGTGCCTTCAAGCCGCATCTGCCAAGCCCTCCGGATGCCCGGGCCGCTGGTACCCACCAGTTCGGAGGCGATGCTCTGCTTGGCCACTGCGCCCACCTCAGGAACGCGCGCCTTCACCTGCGCTTTGATGTAGCACTTCTCTCCTCCCGCAAAACGGATTCCTGTGATACCCTAGGAAAGGAGATAAAAGTTGATCCATCCATTTATCCACCTGTACATTTCTTCAATGTGTTGCGTGTCTACAGCGAGCCAGGCACTGTTCCAGGAACTGGGTATAGGGATGAACAAAAGAGATGGAAGCTTTGCCCTCGTGGAGCGTAACTCTTAGCGTTCTTAACCAAATATAGGAAACTGAGACAGTCAGGTGGTAAGTGCTGTGGAGAAAACAAAGCAGGTGTGAGAGAGGAATGGCCGGATGGGGCTCTTGTCAGTGGGGTCCGGGAGGCCTCCACCGGGGGCGGCATTAGAGCTGAGATGGAGTATGTGAGTTGCTCCATCTTTCCCTCAAGCTCAGGTGAAAGGCCATCCTTTCTATGCAGTTCTCTCCGACCATCCCAGGCTAAGGGGGCTCCTTTGCCTCTGACTTCCGTGGGCCCCCCGGCCCCCACGTCTTCACCCCTCCCTTGGCGCTTAGTTCTCAGTGCCTGTACGGTAGCTCCTTGTCAATGTCATCTCAGGTATAAGCTTCTTGAGATCGCTATCTGAATCTTAGCTCTTTCTTTTGGGCGATTTTACAAAGATTCTCAAAAGATGTTGGTCCAGTGAATTAATTCCACAAATTCAGATGTTTCCTAAGTTACCAAGCCCGGAGTAAATAGTAAAGGTTTCTACAACACCAGGAGCTGAGCTTTGCTGCTAGACCTTACCCAAGGACGCGGATGTTTGTTTTGTCCCCTGTGAGATGTAAACAGTGTCTCCTCGTCTGCCTGGGGACCGGCCTCGGGGGGCGCCTTAGCCCAGGCTCATCTGGGCTGACAGCAGCGCTGACTCCCCTGGAGCCCATGGGGCAGCTCAGCGCTGTCCCCAGAGTGTTGGCTTTCACCTGCTGTCAACTTCAGGATTAGCGAGTGGCCAGAACAGCATTAAAGGGCTACACATTTTTGCCATAATAATGTAGACACCAACCCAAATCTGCACATCTCAGTATCCTGCTGAGTTGAGACAAATGTCAGGAAGATAAGAACTTGTTTCAATGTCAGTGCCAGGGGGGCAGATCAGCATTTAGGAATCCAGGGGTCCTGGCTCAGGACCCAGCCGTCTCCAATGAGGAGAGAAGCTGAATGGAAGTCATGCGTGAGAATATTCATGGGAAGTGACACCACATGTCATCTCAGAGCCAGGGGCCCCACAGACGCTGGTAGGTGGCGCACTGGAGAACAGAGAAGGAAAGGCTCACGCTTCCTACGGCTCCTCATGGGTTTGCCTTGGGGCCTAATTGGCCATGTACACACATGGAACACATGTCCCTCGTTTCTCCCAGCATCACCTCTCACCCAGAGGTGGCGGCCTGATGCCCACTTGACAGAGGCTGACCGCAGAGGTTTCCGACTCACTGCACCCAAGTCACCTGAAGAGAATTTAAACACACAGGTGCCTGGGCCTCTCCCCAGAGATGCCCATTTAATTGGCCGGGATGTGCGCAGACCCTGGTGTGCTTACAAGTTCCCCACGTGTTGACCAGGCGCAGGCCAGGCTGCGGACCACCCGTTCAAGGGGAACTGAACGCGTTCAGGGGAATGAAGTTTTAAGTGACTGATGTCCATGTCACCCCCAGATTCATATGTTGGAACCCAACCCCCAATGTGGTGGTATCTGGACGTGGTGTATTTGGGAGGTAAGGCCCTCCTGAGTGGGATTCGGGCCCTTATAAAAGGGACCTGCTCTGTGAGGACACAGTGAGAAAGAGGACCCAGAAACCAGGCCCTCACTAGACACCCAATCTGCTGGCGCCTTAATCTTGCACTTCCCAGCCTCCAGAACTGTGAGAAACACTTCTTTGTGTAGAAGTCACCGTCTGGGGCAGCCGCTACAATGGCCTAGGACACAGCCTGTGGATCCCCGTTTCTTCTGTACCCGTTACTCCCAAACTTTCCCTTGCACCCATCTCACCAGGAGGCCTTGTTCCATGAAACAGTGTTGGGCCCCACCCCCAGAACTGAGTCAGTCAGTCTGTCAGGAGTGGGGTTCACCTTGGCATTTCTAACAAGCTCTTGGGTGCTGCTGCCGTGGCCTAAGGAACACACCCTGAGAGCCGCTGCTCTCACTGGCCTGCCCTGAAGTCTGCTGCTCTTATTCTGCATGTAAAGCTGGGCACCTGGTTTGAAAGACAGAAGGCAGGGGAGAGAGAGAGCTGCCACACGTGTCCTCTTAATGGCAAACCCTCACGTCCTCTGAATGGGAGATGGGCCACAGGAGACACCATATAGCCACTGCCATGTCCCCAAAGGAGAGAGCTGATTCTACTGAAGGATTCCAGCCTGGGCTGTGAGTGAGCGTTGAGTAAGTTCTGACGGTCTGCACTGGGCACGAGAACTGAACGCCCCAGGGAGGGCTCTGTGGGAGGGAACTCACACACAATAACCACACGTCTAGCTACAAATCCTCATCAAGCAGCCAGATATAATAAGAGAGTAAACAGAGGGAACAGAAAAGCACAAGAAAGCCAAGCAAACCTTTTGTTTTTTGCAAAAAATAAGGCTGGTGATAATGAAGAAATTTGCTAACAAAGACAATGAATGAAGAGTCCAATGACCTAACTTCGTTTTATCCTCAACCAGAGATATGTCTATTGATTTTAGGGAGAGGAAGGGAGGGAGACAGAGAGGGGGGGAGGGAGAAACATTGATGTGAGAAACATTGATCTGCTGCCTCCTGTACGTGCCCCAACTGGGAATCAAACCCGGAACCTTTTGGTACACAGGATGATGCTCCAACCAAGTGAGCCACCCAGCCAGGGCTGACCTAACATTCTTTTATCAAAAGTCAGGTAATCTCATGTTAGTCGCATATTTTTTCTTTCTAGGGGATCTCATCTATTTCTGTGGCTTAAACCAGAAGTTCCCAAGGAGGGCAAGGGGTCCTAGCCCAAGGGACACTACAGAAGTCTAGGCCTTCAGTGGACATGGCCCAGGGATGCTGGTCCCCTGGCACAGCCCCAGAAAGTCCTGAAGATCTAACTGCCTTGGGTCCTGGTGAAAACCTGATTGGAAGTATCTGTGCCTAGAACCTCCCACAGTTTTACACATAAACGCAAAGTGATTTTTGACATAGTTTTAATGTACAATAGCTTTCCTAGGAACGCAATTACTGTGAAAATAGAGAGAAAATGGTATTTTTGTTCACAGTTGGAAAAGATTGCCTGGTATTTAATCTGCCAGCACACATTTTTCAGCCGCGGTAGTGACAGTGATTCAACTGTCAGAACTGAAACATGACTTCCATTTTATTTTTTCTTTATTTTATCGTTGGGGGCCATAATGATTTTTGAATAAAACCTGGTAGGTAATTTATCTTTTATTCTCCTCTAGCTTTTTAAATAAAAATTTCCAATATCACACAGTTAAAAGAATTGTATAGTGAACGCCCATATTTACTACCTTGATTTCTAACCGAGATCTTGGTTACACAAACAAGGCCTGAGAGGACTGGCGTAAACCAACAGCACCGATGCTGTCGAGGGTCTAACTTTCTAGAACGGAACTCACCAGCGATGAACTAACCAGCATTTGTGTCCGCAGGGCATTGACGAAGATGCCCTGACTAACTGGCCAGGCTCCTGAGTCCTCCTTGTGACTGAGCCGACCTTGGGCTCTGTCTTGGCCTGCTCATTCCAATTTTTGCCAGAATCCTGCTGAGTCAGCCTTGGTCTGAGCACCCTTGATATCTGATCAGCCTGGCCTGCCTTTAGCAAAAAATCCTGTTAGGTCAGTTTAGTAAAGAATTACTCCACCTCTTAGTAATTTTCCATCTACCAACACTCCCACTCTGGCTGTAAATCTGATTTTTCTATATTGTGTTTAGAGCTGAGCCCAGTCCCTCTCCTCTACTACAAACCCCACAGCAGTAGCTCTCCTCGAATAAAACCTGCCTCACCTTTTCTAACAAATGTCCTGAGTCGCTTTTTCTTAAACAGTGCAGAACCTGCAGCCCTCTGTTCCATGCTGTTCCCGCTCAGGACGTTCTTTTTACCACCAGTTCTACTAAAATCCCGTGGGGTCCTGGGTTAGCAGGGGAAGCCGTTCACTTACAATTCAGAACCTTTTCCAATCTGGCCCCACCTGCATCCCATCTGCTCACATTGGGCTGCTTAGAACTCCAGGGCAGGCCTGTGGATTTGTATTCAGTGTTCTTTCCAAGGCCTGGAAGGCCCTGGCCCTCCTTTTCTGCTGGTTGAGATCCTAATCATTCTTCAAGACCTGGTTCACCTGTCGCCCCCTCTGTAAAACCTGCTCCAGCCCCTGGTCAGCAGTGATTGCCTCCCCTCTGCTCTCCACAGCTCTCTGCTCCCCGCTCAGTCAGTGCGCTTCCCTGGCTGACCTGAGCCACCTCTGTGTGGGTGTCTGCCTCCTGGGCTGGACTGGAAGGTCTTTGAAGGGGGGAACAGATGTCAGTCAGCTTTGCATCCCCGATGCTTATCACTGTCCCTTGCACACAGTAGGTCCCAATAAATGCTTCTTGATTTTGGTTTAAAATATAGGGGAATTATGCAGGTACCATAGTGGTGGATTCATGTGTTTTCAAAAGTCCAGGTTTGCCCTGGATATTGTGGCTCAGTGGATAGAGCGTCGGCCAGCACACCATAGGGTCTCAGGTTTGATTCCCATTCAAGGGCACGAACCTAGGTTGCAGGTTGATCCCTGGCCCCTGTTGGGTGTGTGCAGGAGGCAACCAATCAATGTGTCTCTCTCACACCTATGTCTCTGTCCCCTTTCTCTCTCTCTCTCTCTCTCTCTCTCTCTCTCTCTCTCTCTCTCTCTCTCTCTCTCTCTCTCTCTCTCTCTCTCTCTCTCTCTCTCTCTCTCTCTCTCTCTCTCTCTCTCTCTCTCTCTCTCTCTCTCTCTCTCTCTCTCTCTCTCTCTCTCTCTCTCTCTCTCTCTCTCTCTCTCTCTCTCTCTCTCTCTCTCTCTCTCTCTCTCTCTCTCTCTCTCTCTCTCTCTCTCTCTCTCTCTCTCTCTCTCTCTCTCTCTCTCTCTCTCTCTCTCTCTCTCTCTCTCTCTCTCTCTCTCTCTCTCTCTCTCTCTCTCTCTCTCTCTCTCTCTCTCTCTCTCTCTCTCTCTCTCAATCCCTCCCACTCCATCGCTTCCACTCTCTCTAAAAATCAATGGAAAAAATATCTTCAGGTGAGGATTAACTACAACAACAAAAAGTCCAGGCTTATTTAAACTCAGAAGAGGTTCTATCCATCACAAAAATGTTCTACTCACCAGTTCTGACTTAGAGAAATGTGGAAGCTATCCAACAGAATTGATCAGTTTATAAAATATGTTTGGTCCTTTTGGCCCAGGAGAACAAAACACATCAATACCATTATTAGAACCAAAGGTCTAGAAAACAGAGGTGTAGATTTCGGATTAAAATATTTTAAACGTCTACTGATATCTACACTTCTTGATAGAGATGGATCGCTTTTTATTCAGCTATGCAGCTACCTTTGCATATCTTGGTATTGTGGCACATCATAGGTATTCATAAGTATTCTATATTGAATGATGTGTGTGGGGGAGTCACACTTTATAATTTTATATTGAGTAATAGAAAGAAAAATGCTGTTACCTTGTCCTGCGTCTTGCAGTAAAAGCCTTTAATAGGTCCAGATAAATTATCCCTGTGCACTGACCAGAACCAACCGCAAAGCTATGACTGAATGAGGTGCAGCTGGGCCCATACGGCTGTGGTGCCGTCCCAGGGCAGAGCCGCCTGAACACAGCCAGAGCTTCTCACTATCAAAAATACCTAACCTCACCAAGGCTCTAATGCGGCATCTGTTTGATATTCAAAAGGGCCTGTGAAGTGTGTTTTGGTATCAACAAGGGGAGTTCTTTCATTCCGATGAAAATCACCTCTAGTTTTCCTCACCAATCAGAAGAAGAAGGTGGGTGAGACGTTTGTGGGCCAATAAATGATCAGAAGAGACGTTATTTTTTCAAGTGCCTTTTCTTCATTATGAAGACTCAGGTTTAACAGGAGAGCACAAATAGTGGTGCCGCTTCTTTATCTTAGAACGTGAAAGAGAATATGGTATTTATGTTGGCAAACAGAAAAGTCGGCCTGCAGTGACACGCTGGTTTGCAGATGGTCATTGAAGCATTGATGCTTAGCTTAGTGTCTCAAATTGCCTGTAAGCCGAATTTTTGAAAACAAACATGGCTGACTTTTTCAAAAGAGACCAGAATATGCTATCTGTAATAGGCAGTAGTCAGAAAATATATGATGTAATAGGGGAATTTCTCCATGCTAATTTTCTAGATTAAGCGGGAAAACTACAAAATTGAGAAAAGCCCTACCAGTATTTGATTATTAGGTCATTAAAATCTCCCTCCTCTCCCATCAGCAGATGAGTGGATTAGAAAACTATGGTACATCTACACAATGGAATACTACGCTGCTATAAAAAAGAAGGAACTCTTACCATTTGCAGCAGCATGGATGGAACTGGAGAGCATTATGCTAAGTGAAATAAGCCAGGCAGTGAAAGAAAAATACCACATGATCTCACTCATTTATGGATAATAAAGAACATTATAACCTAATGAACAAAAAGATAGATACAGAGGCAGAGAAGCATCGAACAGACTGTCAAAGTACAGCGGGAAGGCTGGAGAGTTTTGGGGGGGTGGTAAGAGATCAATTGAAGGACTTATATGCATGCATATAAGCATAACCAATGGACACAAGACACTGGGGTGGGGTGGGGTGA